GACTATACGTCGTATAATACAGGGTGTCCCAAAATAGCTTCAACTCTCGGAAATGAGGGGTTCCTGGGATGATTTGAAACAACATTTTCCTTAGCAAAAATGTTATCCGAGGTTTTGTTAACGAGATATTAACGAAAACAACCCGACCAATCAGAGCGCATGTCTAATCGGCTGAGCTTCCGCGGTAGCATTGGCTATGCGCTGCGATTGGTAGCCAATTGGCAGACTCGCGCTCTGATTGGTCGGGATTTTTCGTTAATATCTCGTTAACAAAGCCTCGGATAACATTTCTGCTAAGGAAAAAGTTGTTTCAAATCACCCCAGGTATCCCTCATTTCTGAGAGTCGAAGCAATTTTGGGACATTCTGTATACGGGGTGTTCATAGTATACTAGAGGAGTCTTTATAATCGAAGCTGTATACAGCTGGTACAATGAAATTAATTGAATGATGGAAAGAAATTATGGAAAATAAATTTTAAAATATTGACTGTAACTCTGCCCTCAACCTTTAAGGAACGGGCGGGTTTGTTCTAAACTTTTTATATTTTTAAATTAGAACTTTCATATATTGGTTATAATGTTATACTATGAAAATAAGCGACCCCTCTAGAGCCTAAAAATAGGCGTCTAAAGGTTAAAGACGCTACAAACAATCCAGTACATAGTGAAAAATGATTAATGAGGTGAAATAATTGTTCGCCAAGTGTCTGCTCAGTCCAGGAAAAAGTATTATTTTATTATAAAAATTGGAATTTGCACGTTCAATTGATGAAAAATGGCGAACTGCTTCCGTTTCTCTTTTATTCGTTGTTCGAAACTCTTTATATGGATAATGACCGTCCCTCGTTATTACTGCACAATGAATCTAGATCGGACACGATGTCGTGTGAGACGTGTTTTATCGCTTTTGAGCTGTCCTATTATCCTATTAGATATTTTAACGTATGTCTAGGACACCCGAGTGTATAGAGAACCTTGATTATAATCGAGTTTCTCGGATAGTAGAACCACGATAATAGGAAATACACAAAGTACAAGGAGAGAAAGTTATATTTAAACTTCCGATAAAGTAATTTTCTATGCTGATTCTGGCAAAGAATGTACAGTCGCCTCGTACTGTCTACCACATAACTCAAAAACTGTAAATTTGAGAAGGGAAGCATTTGAAAAATTTCTATTCACTAATATTTGAATACTAATCTGATCATTTATTTAAATTCATTTTGCTTTTGCAAATATTTAGAGTACGCAGAAAAGGGCTACACCTGAGTTTATTTATACAGAAAAAGCAAAAAATCCTTTTTCTTTTAGTTGTGTCACTATCAAAGTAACTCAGTGTGATATTTATTGCTACATCGAGTATTTTATACACTACCAACAACAATTTAATTCCTGCGTCTATTTTCTACTCTATTGTCTCGATATTTTCTTGATATAGCAATTTTCAATCATACCTAATTTTTTCCATTAATCGATCAGAGTGATCTATAATCGTGATTCTATTTGCCGTATTTCGTTGCGAAACGAGGATTACCTTCTTCGAGAATCGGTAACGGGCGATCAACGGTATCATTCCCACCAGCTTCAGGGCGAGCACGGAGCCCCAGAAACCGTAAATCTTAAATAGGTCCGGATCTATGGAAGGCATGTCCGTGGTTCGATATAGTTTTCTATTTCGAGGGGTATATCCGAACACTTGTATACGGCACAATTCACACCGGGGTCTGGGATAACACTTGGTCCTAGTCGAGAACTCGACGGAAGTCACCGGCCGCGCGTAAAGCTTCGATGAAAAATGCAATAGACCCGACGAAACTACTCTATATAGCCGGCAAGAAGTTTAAAAAAAGTTGGGCGGTCAACGGAAACAAATACTATATCCTTGAACATCATTCATATCGGGAACCTTGATTTCAACCGCTGATCGTAAATAGCTTCTTGACGTGATTTTATTAACATAAGTATTACATTACGTTACGATTAAACGCCGAGCCGTGTGCAGATTGCACGTGATAATTATTCTAATATTACATGTCCTGTGCAATGAAGTACCTGCATGCACACTTAGCCGTACCCCGTGTATTTATGTCGGCGCCCATTTTAATAGTGTGACGGTTACAAAGAAGGAACTTACAGAGAAATTTGTTTAATTTCTAAAGTGATTTAATATACATACAAATATACAGGGTGGGACAAAAACTATGTCCACTTGGAATATTGCCGTTATTTGTAATAATATGAAAAAATGTTATTTACAAAACTTACACGGTATAGAGGGGGGCATATTGTGACACAAACATTTTCTGCGTGGGTGAAGGCATAGAGGAGATTTCAAGGTCATCTCTATTTTTTTCAATGGAATGCTATGTTTTTTTATCGCGATGTGATAGCCGGTGTCGAGACGACTTCAGCGAGCTATCACAGAACGTCATGCAAGGTCAAATGTGGTAGTAAAATAAACTTTCTTACATTACAGGAGATGCTCGAAGTGGTGACAATTTGCGTTAATGCAAAGTTGCAATCTTCATATCACTGTAACACGTGTGTGTGTTATTGTTTCTGTATTTATTCAGAATACTTAGTGATTTTAATTCAGCGATATGAATATTGCAACATTGTATTAACGTAAACAGTCACCACTTGGAGCATCTCCTGTAATGTAAAAAATTATTTATTCAGAATACTTAGTGATTTTAATTCAGCGATATGAATATTGCAACATTGTATTAACGCAAACAGTCACCACTTGGAGCATCTCCTGTAATGTAAAAATGTTTATTTTACTACTACATTTCACCAAAAAAATTCGGTACATTCCATTTTCTTCGTGTCGACAAGGTTCTCGGAGATAAAAGCTCGAACCAGGGCAACAGAAGGACCTCGAATACGAGTTGCGTCTCTGATAACGTTCCCCGTACCTATTTACCGATTAAATATCAAACAGTACAACACGGAATGTACGTCCAGTGACTCGTGAATTTACCGTCCCTCTAATTAATCTGGGAAAGATATGACCGATAGGGAGAGATTAATCTCCTTTACAGAAACGTAAACACACGATTCGCGACAGGAAAGTATAAGTTAATTCTGGAACACCTGGTATCCCGAAGGACGAGATGGATATTTGGGCCATGACCAGGTTGCGATCAATATAGCGTCCCGTCGGCGAAACCATCGACGAAAGTCCTGCCAGCAACGGCGGGACCACCCTTACGTACATTTCGCGAAATGGATTCGTTCCGTACTCTGGTAGAAACGAGCTGAATAAGCTGAAATGAGACGTGTCTTTTTTTGAACGTCCTCTACATGCTAGGCTAATTGTCGATAAGCTGAGAATTTAGCTTCTTTTTTTTGTTCATTATCTACTGCTTGGTTGTTGCGTAGTAATCGTCATTTTGTGAACTGTAGAGTTTAATTCCCTCATTACCACCCGCTATATCGTTTCGAAAACATTTGTCACAGACTACTCTAGGTCTCCACTGATCTCTTCGGTAGAATGTTCTTACCTTTTTGATCGGATTATTAAAAACGACAAAACAGAGATAATTAATAACATAATATATAGGTGAATATTAGAGAACACACACTGCTTATCAAAGTAAAGTATGTTTACTTATTGTTAGAATTTTGAGCGTCTCACATACGTTACTGTTCGTAGGACAGAGATACCTACATACAGTGGACTCTAACTATATTGCCATGGTCGGGGCTGTAGGGGAGTAAAATGGCAATGAGTTCAGAGCCCCCTCCATGCTAAGTCCTATCGACATAGCCTTGGCCTCAGCGCCTGCGTAAAAGCTGGATTGTGGTGGGAGAGCGAATTTGTGTGCTCGAAAGTACGTGTGAATAAAATAGAAATTATGAATAAAATATGAGTGAGAAATGGGATCATTTGCTAATACGTATTTACACATATCCTATAACCAAATAAATAAATGTCGAACATATAATAATTGAGAAATAACATATTTATATTAATATCAATTTATAGGATTAAATGAGGTTTCATCATTGAAATATGCTATCAATTGCGGCAGTACTCGGTTGCATAAAGCGTAAACAATGTTGTTATGAAGTAGTCGTTACTGATAACTGACCACCAATCGTATCCATTGAGCGAACTTAGACACTATCAAAGAATTTTCCGATTACCAGTAACAGTGCTAGGGTTAAGCTTGGATAAAACATAATAATACAGTTGTTACATAATCATTAATCTTAATAATAGCGAACTTCATTAACCCTTTCGCTACGAGAATGTAGGCTGACAGGAACGATACGTTTAGTTATGCTTTCGTTACTTCATCGTTTTAATCCCTTGTGTGACCTATTAAATATAAATGTACCCTTCTTTTAAATGTCATAAATTAGTTGGGTAGTTGATTCTGAGGCAACACAAGCAACAATGAGAAGTAAACAAGGATATTTTATTTTAACAAAATGGAAAAAAAAATAGAATTATGGACATAACATTCGATTACGATATGTCTAAAAATTTAATAGTCTCTGATCTATCTTAAAGTCTCTTTTTCACGAACTGTTCACGGTTAGTTTTCGAAAAGCAGACGTCTTTGATACAATAAGAATATTGGAAAGAGTTCGACGAATGGAAGCCTGTATTCTCGCAACATTTGATAAAAATCTTTAAACGCTTATAGCTTTTCAATAAAGCATTTTCAGACATAAGTTTATACGAACTATTTTTTTCCCTACTAAACCTCATTAAGACGTAGTATAAGTTCGGCCCCGATCTTTTTGGACACCCTGTATACTTCCATATTATCTACAACAGTACAAGCAATTCAAATCACAAAAAGAAAGTAGACATGTTTTCCACCACATTCGGTTATTGTACAGACTTCTCTCGATTATCGTGCCTCACTTGGGTCGAGCAATACGCAACTTGTAAATAATTTTCTAGAACGAACATGGCCGTTCTTTGATCATCCTCCTGTTTTTTGTTTCTTATTTTAACGCATATCGAATCTTTCTGTTTCAGGCACACATGAAGTTCCCGCCGGATTATCCGTACAGTCCACCGAGCATTCGGTTTATGACGAAAGTTTGGCACCCGAACGTGTACGAGGTGAGTAAATAGGGGAATTATCGATCCTCCCTTCATCCCCCTTTCATGTTTCGCCCTCGCCGCCCCACGTGTCCACGTACTCTCCCTCTTCAATCTCCTCTCTGCCTGCTCTCTCTCTCTCGTCGCATGTTTTTCTCTACCTTCCCCCCGTGTATATACGGGGTGTTAATAAAGAAAAAAACGCGGGTAAATAATTTTCACAAGGGTGAATTTTGCATGCAAAACTAAGACGCGAATTAAGAATAACGAGATTGCATTTCGAGGCTTCGTTTTCGAGAGTTATTAATTATTCAAAAAACAGGGGCGAAATACGTGTGAATTTTTAGTTATGTATTCTCATTACCTTCACTTTCATCGTTCTTTCGTCCCAATTTTTATTTTTTTTCAATTTTGAAATCAAATTGGCAGTTTGATACATAATTCGGTCAAATAAACGTGACAGGCTTATGCGAACAAATTTTTGAGTCTCTGTCATGATTAAAATTGAATAAAACTTGAAACCCTATGCTTCCTTCTTTCTAAACATACTTTCGATCTAGATCATTAAAAAATACCTTTTTTTATACGACTAAATATGAACAACCCCTGGCTTATATTATATTTACAAATCGATGAGTTAGATATGGCGTTTAAACACTCGAGTCCAAAAGGACCCGGTCACCGTACTCCAAGGTTTAATAACTCGAAAACGAAGCCTCAAACGTAATTTCATCATTCATGATTTTCGTCTTAGTTTCGCAATGCAGACTCCACTCTGTAAAAGTGTCCCATATTTTTATCAACACCCTGTATATCTCTCATCTACTCTCTATCCTCCCGTCACTCTCTCTTTCCGCCGTGCCTCCCTTTCGTTTTCTCCCGGGTCCCTCTTTGTCTCCTCACCCTCCTGTTCGGTTGCTTTCGCGTCTGGCCGGTCTCCGCGAGACCTGCAGCATCTCCCTCTTTGCAGTTCGGTTTCGCCATGGAAATGCCGAACGAACACGTCTGTCGGAGTTCACGTGTCCCGAGGGACATTTAGCCACCGTAATTTTGATAATTGACGGGTCCTGGCTATATATATATATAGGCAGAGAAATTTACCAGAGCCTGTGTGAAATTAATGCTCCTTTCCGGAGGAGTTTTAATCGGGCGTCCACGGTTCACCGAAATCTTTCGCTTCGCTGTTCCCCTATTGTTGGAGGGGTACATTGCGGATGATTCTTGCGAGGGTATACATTTTACGTGGGATTTAGTGATATTTGAATTAACCCTCGGGGATTGTTCGAAAAGCTACTATTTACTGTTCCTAAATTGAATCGGACCAAGGTTGATACTGAATCGAGAAAATAAGTTTCACTGAATGCTAGATTGTTGGGTATTGATGAGTAATCCCTCGTTTATTTTTAATAAACTGATGACACAGTCTAAAACATCTTTCTATTCGTTTTCTTGATTCTGAATGGCGGCGAATAATCGAAGAACGAGGACAAATATCACTGAACTTTCCCCTATTGTTGGTTTCTCTATTGTGTTGGAGGGACATCGTTGCGGATGATTCTTCCGAGGGTATTCATTTTACGCGGGATCCAGTGAAATTCGAATTGATCCACGTGGATTGCTCGAAAAGCTACTGTTTACGACTCCTAAATTGGACCCAGGTTGATATACATGCTTTAAGAATTCGTTTTATACAGTAAATATGGTTTGAACAGTAAAATTACTGTTCTTTCTTTAGTACTATATCGTAATCACTTTACCAAGTCGCGTTTTTGACACTCAGATTGCACTTTCATTTTTCAGAATTAGTTTTCAGATACTAGGTACATAGAAACACGTGTATTTCTTTGTTTCTATATAAATCAGAGTCTCAATTTAATAATATAATTTTGCGTATACAATTCTTTATACGTTACGTTTTTATTAAGTGAAATAAATAAAGTGGAAGTATTAGGGACACTGGCAGTAATTGGGACACTTACACTAACACTTCTATATTCACTTCAGAACCTGGTGTTTTTCTTACCACTGTGTTTCAAAGATGTACATTTTATCTGTTATTCGTTACTAGAAACTAGAGATGACGTGCACAATCACTAACGGTGATTTATCACAGTGATCGCCGAATCACAATCACGGTCGTGATTTAACTTCACTCACGACCGTGATTGTAATTTTTTATCTTGAGTGGATTTGCTCACTGCGATCGTACGTCCTTGATCTTTAAACAGAAAAACGTATTCGATATGATTTTACGATGCATTATATTACTATTTGTGTTTTCAAAAATCAGTAGAAAAGAACAAGAAATTCTAGAAGAATGATTTGCTAGGTAACATGTAGATTATAATCTATAATCATTAATTTATTCATTATTCTTCATTTTTTCTAATTATTCCTTCACTTTATACGATACAACTCGACTTTTTGTTCTGATGTCGTTAAAATAAAATATACAGGTTATGTGTCGCGTGTAAAGAATTGTTAGGTTTCGCCACCAATCAGAAACAATCACGATCACTGTGAAAAATCACCATGATTGGGAACGCACGTGATCACTCGTGATTCACAAGTAGCAGTTCACGCCATCTCTACTAGAAACTCTTTATCCAGATAATCAATTCGCCCATGTACCTCCGTCGAAGGCTTATCGACCTCTTCGAGCGCTCGTATCTCCCGTGTTTGCGACCCTTCAGCGTCCAGCAAAAGAGTCAACGACCGTGTCCAAAGCAGGCTGGACACATGTGTGTACCGCGTGTTCTGTCCAGTCCGCTTTGTCGCGTTGGAACGTGGTTGGGGGACCTAGAACTCTAACACGCCTAACGGGTTAACTGAGAATAAACTCGCGTAAATTTCATGCATCGTGTAACAGGCCGCATTAATTATACATCCCCGGAAGCAGAACGAACGGATAGGATTATTACACGAAGATTCCCGTGGTTTATCAGTCATCTGACAAAAATGGCGAGTTAGGCGCATTCTTTTCCATCGTTGGTTAATTGCTGCAGACGTGTGATGTGAGAGTGATTCTCGTTCTCTTCCTGGGTCTCTCGTGTACGGTGCATACACTACCAGAGGCGGATAGTTTCACTCGAAAGCGATCGTCGACGGGGATGCGTGTAGTGATGGGATTGATACGATATATAATGATAATACGGTAAATACTCGATGAGTGATCGAAAGCTCCTGGACACAGAACGTTAAATATTGAAGGTTTTGGTGTTTTTCCAAATGGACTTTTGATTTTAAATACCTATGTACAGTGAATCCTCGATGAGTGCTCGAAGGTTTCTCGGCACTGAATATGAAATATTTCATAAATTAATATGCAGTTGAAACAAATATTATTCGCTTCGGAATTCAAAGATCTATTCCTGTGCTGAAGATCATCTGTGGACGTGTCCCTGTAACGAACTCCTTTCTAACAAATGGCGTGAAAATCGTTTGAATACAAAACAGGGAAGAAAAAAAAATTAATATTTAATGAATTGCTTATTTTAATAACATAATTCTCTCGTTTTGACATGGTAATGTTCATTCACTGGTGCTTGTTCATTAATCTACGATACCACTCGATATCTGATCGAAATTCACGGTAAAGTATCGCTAGTATCAACGCAGTATCAGTCCCCACGCTAGTGGCGTGCCTTTAATAACCGTCCCCGTGCCGCAGTGGAAAAGAAACGTCTCGTCGTTCCGCGACTCTTGAGTTCACCCAACTTTTCCCTCCTTCCCTCGATGAAAGTTCCTCATCGCTCCGTTATATCGTGCGAACATGGTCGGCTGTTTGAGAGCGCGTGCATGCTATTTTCCGCGCGATGAATACTTTTCCATACGTCCGCGTCGTGTCTTCCTTTTCGACCTCGTGTGGCCAGAGGCCAACGTACTTTCGCGACCGTGTCGTCTCATGCCTCTTCTTTTGCTTCTTTTTTCTCTCTTCTCTTCTCTCAATCTGCTCCGTTCCCTTCTTGGAGAGAGAGAGAGAGAGATTAATCCGCCTCGAGAGAGTGTGACGTTGAACAAGAATACGTGTAATTTGTTTAATGAGTATGTAATGGGTGCTCCGGTGAACATGACGCGAATTTCCCGTCACCTCGGTGAACTCTGTAACCTGGGACCCACGCGCGATTATCAGTCAATCGAAGCGTCTTCTCTTGGGTGATTCTCTTTTTTTGTCGACGGTCGAGGACGGGTAGGACGGGTCGGGTCACTGGGCATTATGATGGTCTCTCATCGCGCTGTACAGGGTGTTTGAAAATTATACATCACGGCTACCATAGCGTTATTCTACACCTCTGGATGGGTGAAAATCTGCAAAAGAACGTCACTCCAAAATTGACCTTGACCTTGAAATTCAAGGTCATAGTTTTATACTATTGCATCGTATTCTGCTCGTCGGGAGGTTAAAAAATCTGGAAGGAACCATTGGTCGCAGCTCAACTGGTCTCTTGGAAAATTATGTTAAAGTTCACACTCATGTAAATTATTTATATAAAAGTGTCATACTTTCTGCTGTTTGAATTGTGCCTTAATGTCCCTTATAATACGATGTAAAAAATTATATTGTTCCATTTAAAAAATCCCATGGTGTCTCTGGGTTCACTTTGAAAAAAATGTATTTTCGAAAAGTTCGTCATCGTTATGTGTTGTCTACTTAAAACGGATAAATTTTAGTTAATAACGTTAATTGTTTTTATTACACCCTATCGAATGGTTCAAAAATCGTGGATACCGTTAAAGTGAATTCCTTGTATAGTGTTGTATCTACCAGGCATCATTCGTGTATTTATGTAAGTAATTGTTGGTAATAATACTGACAGCTGTCAACGATTCTTCAATCGGTAGCATAATTACATACCCGGAGTTTCTTTTTTGCATGTAAATAATTACAGAAGTTGAACCCGTTCATTAGTCATAGCGACTGTAGTCATCGCTGTGAACTATTGCTATATACTGTATACTCAGGACTCTAAAGGTTAAATATAGTCTCCTGTCAATTCCACTCGGTTGAACCAACCACGATT